GAACTCTTTCAATATCTGTCTCTTTATAATAATGATAATGATAATTTTAGCACCAATCAAAATGCGTAAAAATAACTAGAATTTCATGCATTTCAAGGTAAACAATTTTTGTCAAGTAAGTGGTCAATAGAAAAATTCGAGCAACTGTAATAAACCTATAGTTGCCTAATACATTTTAGGTGCATCAAAGGTGGTCTTCGGTGATGCACTCTCCTCAGGTTTTGCATCATATCGGTTCAAACAGCAACTCCGACCTGATTCAGGACGCGTCAGGTCGGCTCCTAGAAAGCGTTGTGCTACGCACCACTACATTGCAAAAAAATATTTCGACATGGCTAGGAGACCGAACGTTCTTATTGACACATACATCTGTCAACATCGGCCAATGATAAAAGGCTTTTTACACTTCCCTTCTATATACCGGTGACTTTTTACTTTATCCAGTTTCGATTCGAGTTACTTCCCTTGGATTTCTAACTCGGGTAAACTAATTGTTTATTCCTCATCATTATTCTGGGACAAATATAGTGCTAATAATAAAATGGATTACAGAAGATTATGATAAAATTGTAATCAAGCCAGTACAAGTCAGGAAAGGTTTGTGGAGTGTAAATATAGTTTTAGCTCAAGGACGATTCGGATGGTTCCAGAATGTTTAAAATGCCGTTTTGGAAAAGAATTTCAAGAAGACAGAAAAATAGTGAATAAAAAATAAATCTCTAATATTGTATGTATGTACAGTTTAAACGATGTATAATACCCCACACAATTTTGGGGTATATTCTACCTTCAACTGCTGCCGATTGCAGTGTCAAATTTCATTAAAATTAAACAAGGAGTACTTTAGGTTGGACCACTTTTAAGTTTCCACGGCATTATGCATAATAAAAAAATATACTTATTATTTTGAAAAAAAAAAAAATACAACCAGTTTTAAGCTATTACTTCAAATGTTCACGCAACATTAAAAGGTTACCTTTGTTGGCAGTTTTCTGGTTGTTGCCTGTAACTGGTTGTTAGGAGCCAGAAGGTAGGGCTTAGTGAGATCAACAGTCGCATAATATCGGCGTATTTGTCGTGTCTTACCGCGTATGGAGGGGTGTACCTGCATGTATTTCTAGCAGTCAAACATGATGCCATATTATGCTTTAGTCTTAACCAGTTTATCCAGGTTGTATTGCCATAGACCAGTGGCTTTCAACCAGGGCTGCACGGAACCCTAGCGTTCCGCCTGTTAAGCCCAGGGGTTCCTCAAGAAGTTACACAAGTACAATGATTGACAGTAGTTTTTAGTGCAGGGGTTCCTCGAACCACTGGAATGTTTTCTTGTGGTTCCGCTCCAGCAAAAAGGTTGAAAACCACTTCCATAGACAGTAGATAGTGATCATTTTTTTTTTCTTTTTCTTAAAAGAAAATTTGCTTATGATATACACAATGAAAAGAAATAAGAGTAAGCTAGTAATCTTAAACACATATCACACTTTCATTCTCTAATATTCGTAGAATACCTTCCGGTTTCTGTAGTCTAGAAACTTTTTTCTTAAAATGTTCTCTCCATATCATCGCACTTTGCGAAACTAATTTAAATTCTTCTGTCGCTACCAATGAACGCCCAGTTCCAAGCTATCTTCCTCTGTGTTTAAGAGAGTCTATCATAAATATGTTCAGGCTTGGTGCTTATATCCGGGGAAAACCTTCCAATTGTAAGGTAATTGCCTCTTGAGGTCTTAGATCATTCTTTTATGTGCTTTCGTTACTACACTCTGTAATCTCTTTTTCCTTAATTGCTCTCCATGTTATTGGGACGGTATATTAAACAAAACTTCGTACAATTTAGAAATGGCTTCCTCTCAGCATTCATCTGCGAACATTTTTGTGTTGTGGAGACTTAGTAATCATTTCGTCAAGTGCTTTCAGCATTCTAATGTTTATAATCTTACCAGTATTCAGATTTTCAAATTTTCCGTTGCTCAATCTCTTAGTCAAATAGCGTACTATGAACTCTCCTATATAGTACCTAAACTGCATGAATTTAAACGCAGTACTAGATTGCCGGCAAACTATAATTATAGAGTTGAAATGCAAAGATATAACAGTAGGTTTTATGGTAACAGCTTCTTTTTTCATACTTCACGCTCGTGAAAGTCTCTCCCGGCTTCTTGCTTTCCAGTCAATTTCGATTTTCAAATATTTACACCCTTTTGCAAATTAATTGAAACAACCCCTTAGGTTTCCTTTCTTACACCATACGGTCTGTTTGCGACCCACTGGAATGACATGGTGTAATCGATTTTCTAGTTTTAACCTAAGATTAGATCATTTGCAGTGGTGCGCAGTAATATGAATCTATTTTCTGGGTGTATGATGGAATTTGATTGGCCTCAAAAAATATTGCGTCATCTGTGATTGCATCAGATTTTCATCACGCCCAGACTCTATTGCCTTGACTCTCGATTACTACAGCCATTGTCTGCGATGGACGTTACTCCAAGAAAGCGTACGAAAATTGGTACGTTGCACGAACACACTGGCAAGCCTTATCAGTGAGCAACTTAAAATACTCTGCGTATTTAAATCCAACCAAGAATCTGTGGCCAATATCCAAAGAACGACTTTGTCAAATGGAAATACGTACTAGTAACATGTGCACTGGGTAATGTCTTTGGGAAAATACAAAAAAGTAAATAATAACGGAATTATTCGTTTTGTTTCGAGTAATTTGCACAAGGGTGTAAGTGCAATGTCAATTGTTAAATTCTGTCTTAAATTATATTCTTCTGTTGGTCTCGCTCCTTAATAATATTTTTCTTATATTATTTCGCACTCCTAACCCCAGCACGTTAATGTCCTTACTGCTAGAGGTGCTATGATCAAAAACAACATTCTCTGCAAATTGTAATTAAAGCACATTGCTTTTAAACATATACGAGCATTTAAGAAACGAAAATCGAATTACACTAAAACATATGGGAAATAAGGAAAACGGTACCAGCATACAACAATCAATGCAAAAATTGAAGATTCTGCCTGGAGGACAAAAACCTATAATTACTGTGTTATCTAAATTGCTCTTTTTCTCTATTTAATAAATGCCTAGCTGCATTTTCCTTTGTTACTTGTTGGAAATCCTCCTCTGTTGTCCCAGTTTTTAAAAACTCATCAGAACCGATTGCCCTCCTCGAACGATGAACTTGTTAACCTTCTACCCCTTTTTGGTAAACTACTCGACTCCTTTATCAGCTGTGATTAGGTTAAGTATCTCACTGCGTAAAGCCTTCTTTCAGACAAGCAATATGGCTTTCGCTTCTCTAATTTAACTGTTGATGTACTAACTATTATTGCTGAAAGTGTCTATCAAGCTTTAGATAAGATTTTTGATGCCCAGACTGTTACTTTGAACATCTCGAAAACGTCTGAAGGGGTTTGGCATATCAGTTTTCTCCACAACTTGAAAGGCTACAGTATTTCCGGACGAATTTTGTAAACGATTCAGTCTTTCTTATAAAATCAGAAAATGAAGGTGGTCTTGAATGGTCACTCTTCTAGATCTTTTTGTACTAAAGAAGTTGTTCTTCAGGGATCTATTCTTGTACCTTCTTTTACTTAATTTTCCTGAGTGACCATCCCGATGGCATCAATTCTCAACTTGACATGTATGCTGATGACACAAGTATTTAATTCTGTCTTGATAATAAGTCTTATCGGTTCGATTAGGCGAAATTGCCAGGTAAAAAATAAATGAACTACAGTTTGTTGTTAACTGGAGCAAGGAGTGGTTTGTTAATGCCTCCAAAATGAAACTTCTCTCAATTAATCACCTGGAAGAACCCAATCTACCTCTAAGTATGGCTGATGCTAACCTCCATGAAAGTGACTTGTGCCTTCTCTGGCTAATATTCTCGGCTGATATGAAGTGAAAAGACTATATTAAATCGACTGCCATGTCTGCTGCTAAGAAAGTCGGTTCAGTGTGTCGTTCTAGGTAATTTTTCTCTCAAGAAACTATTTTGCATATTTTTAAGTCTATTATTCGTCGATGTTTTGAATACTGATGTCATATCTGGTCTCGTGCTTCCGCTGTAAGTTTTGTGATTGTTGCTAAGATCCAAAAAGTAATCAGCAATATTATTGGTCCTGACCTGGCTTCTCGGTTTCAGTTACTTTTTTCATCACCATAATCTAGCTTCCCTGTACCTTTTCTATGAATATTTTCATGGTAATTGTTCAGATGAACTTTTCCTCTGTGGTACATAGACTTTATGAATTTAATCACAGTGCCAGACTAGTGACAAAGTCTCATCATTTCACAGGTGAAATGGTTAAATACAGCTGTAAGTTCTATGCTAAGAGTTTCTTTTCTTGCACTTCTCGTTACAGAAATCACATTCGGCTTCATGCTTTCCAGCAAACTTCGGTCTTCAAGAATTTAAATGCAATGTCAGTCGCTATCTACTGCCTTGTTTAGTCTTTTGTTGTTCTCGTTGTCTAACGTTTCGCTTTGTAATTCGGTCTTCCGCACTCAGTAACTACTTGTGGCTTAGTGGTTTCACTGCCTTGCGTAGGAGGATATGAGAGCAAAGAAAAAGGATATTTGTATAATTATTATTTATCTTTACTCCGATTTTAACGGATTCTGACAAGGAAGATAACAAAGGGAGCAATAATATGAAACCAGGAAAAAAAATGACATAACCCAACCAAAAATAAAACGAAATCAGTAAAAGAAAGGAATACAACAAGAGTTAAAACAAAACTAGAAAAAAAAATGATTGATTCACTTTCTAAACCCTTTGCAAGTTATTTAAAGCCAGAAAATATAGTTTTTAACCACTACGATTTTTTTGGAGATAATAATGATTTAGTGATACAAGTGTTAATAATTAACCCATAGCTGGGGAGAAGTGGATTCATGCCTTTCCCAAGAATAGTTGCGTGAAGTGGAATTCGGCTGCCTGATTAACAATTCCGAGCTATTACGCATTACATTCAAGCTTAGAGCAGTTAATATTCCCCAACCGTCACCCATCTAGGTACTGACCAGGTTCGACGATGCTTAACTTCGGTGATCGTACACGAACTGGTGTTTCAACGAAATGTAGCCGTTAGCATACGGGAGTGGGGAAGAAAACACTATGAGAAATTAGACGAAACAAGAGAAAGGGAAAATAACAACTATAAAACGAAAAAAAAAGAAGGTTGGAATACAAATAAACCGAAGCAGGGGTAAAAGATAGAATGGAAGGAGAGATAATATGAGAGAAAATAAAAGGAGTGAACCCGAAGAGAATTCAAGCGAAACACTTAAGAGTTAACGAGACAAATAGAATCGAATGAAACAAAATTTAACAAAGAAAAACTCAACGAAGTAAAAAAAAAAAATGGACCTGAAGCATAAAATAAGATAAAAATAAAGAAAACGTTGTGTAGATATAAAATCAAGATGGAACAAAATGAGACAGAACGAAATAATGGAGATGGTTGGAGACAAGTTTGGCATTCTAGAAATATAACGAATTAATGGGCGCCATTAAACTTGATATCATTCTCGGTCGTTTTAATGATTTGATGTTTCATATATATTTATTTCTTCTTACAGCCAAAGACCGAACGACAGACACCTGTTTTTATCACTCTATTATATATTTAAATGTACGGTAAAAAAAAAAAAGAAAAGGCATTTCGTTTTCAACATGAAATCTTCAGTATCAATTCTATCATTATTTCAGTTTTTCGATTGGTCCGTCATATGCCAGACAAGAAACCCTTTTCATGCGCTGAAGAGAGGAAGTTATAAAAATGTTCGGGGAAGCATTAAAACATCATCATGCCATATTTTTATGTCAGGAAAAAATGTCTAAATTTCTAAGATGATTAAACGAAACGACTTTGCATCGGAGGACGTGGGGTGTGGGCAAAAATGTGGGGGAGCGATAAAAAGATAAATGCAACTCTAGAGAGTTCTAGATATTTCCAACGGGACATCTGATTGTACTTAAATTTACAATTATAGGCGAATTATAAAGACCAGTAAACAATTATATATATATATATATATATATATATATATATATATATATATAATTTATTATATATATATATATATATATATATATATATATATATATATATATTTATATACATATATATGTATGTATGTATGTATGTATGTATGTATAATGCTTTGTGGCCCTCGCTACCATATCAACATTTGCTTTTTATTTTCTACTTACATTTATATACATTACAAAATAAACTAAGCACAACTGACTATTAAATGATAAAAAATTTTCGCGGATATTAACGTCATTCTGAGGTCTTTGTTTTTCGTCCAACTCCGTGAATGTGTTTTTCTTATGGTAAGTCTCGAAATAAAAAACACACTATATAAAATTCACTACTTTTTATCCATATTATTGAATGTTTTAATTTATTCATCTTTTTAACAAGAAAAATCATACTAAACTCTTCATTCCACAATTATCTTAAATAAACAGGTCATTTATTAGAAAATAAGAATTTGGGTTTATGGAACTGTGGAATCTTTGCACAAGTAGTCGACTACACTCAAAGATGAAATAAACATTTCAACATAAAACTCCTAATAAATTCCAATTGAGAAAATAACTTTATTCTTCAAAGTCTTCATGCGTGTTTTTTTTATTACTTAGGTAATGTATTTTTTTCTTTTTATCCTTAATATTAACTTACTCTCCTGAACTTACTCTCCTTTATTCTAACAATGTTGCTTAAGATTTCCCTAACATTGTGCAAAAGATGTAGTTGGTAACTTATCTAGTAAGCTCATGTACACTGGTAATAGATCTGGATACCATTGCAGTGAAGTTAAAATACCTAGTGATCCATTTCATCTCAATTCTATGTTCATTTACTGCGTCGTATCTGCAAGTTGTGGACAAGTGTCGTCATTCAGCAAAATCATCAACCTACTTCATAACCATTCTCTTTGAAAGTGCCAATGAAACGAACCAGCTGCACCAATTTATTAAGTTTCGTTTATTTTGGCTCACGACCTCAAATATGGAGCAGACAGTAAGGTTCCAATTCATTAATATAAAATTCCTCTATGCTTGGAATAGGTCTAATCACATATTTAACAGGCGGTCCCGTTTCCTGCGTAAATTCATTGTAAATTGATCACCTCAACTTAAATCAAAGCAAAATTCCTCATACGAGGAGTTTACTTCAAATGAAAGGTATATGCAAGTGGTATGATTGATATCGTGTCGAAACAAGAAGACAGAGTTTGAATTCCAGTCGGGTTCGTTACTTACATTTACACGTAAATTTCTTTGGGAAATGCATGAATCCACGTCTTCTCCCAGCTATGGATTTAATAGTCGGAATTTTAACCGAAAATGTTATTGTTATTCTTTAAAAATGGATAATGCAATATTCACTCACTAAAATTATTATTGTTATTATAATCCAAAATGTTTCGTTTTAAATAATTCCCAAATGGTTGATAAACTGTATAAAATCAAATCAAACCATTCTTAAAATTAGGTATCTACACACACACACACACACACAAAAAAAAACAAAAAAAACAGAAAAAATGACATGAGTGGTTTTTTTGAAAAAAGAAAATTAAGTACTTAGTAATCTTAAAAATCTAGGAAAATATTCAACGTAATTTAATGTTTTATTGAATTTTACAAATTTCGGCTTTAAATTTCTATAGCCATCGATCTTATTTTTACCAAGATTTTCTAAAGCAAAATATTTTTTTAAAAATATTATGATTCATTTGTGAAGAAGTCCTGGCAATTTCATTAAAATCTTACAATTATTTGATTTTTACAAGAATTTCCAAACCAATGCGTATTTTACCGCAAAAATGGCGCTAAAATTCCCCCAATTTATCTTGAACTCAAGAAAAACAAGATATTTAATAAAAATGTCGAATGTGCTAGAAAGGATTAAAAAAAATTAATAAAATAATCCAAAAATACTTTCTTCTTTCCTTTTAATAATAATATAAATATTTTGACGATAAAAATTAGTTTTTATCAAATTTGGAGCTTTTATTCATGGTAGTAGTCTATTTTTAGAAACATTTTGGAGGTACCTACTTAAAATATTTTTTCTTTTTTTATAATTTATGATCTCTTTGATAGTAGCATGTGAAAAAGAACCACAGATTAAGAAGTTCAAAAATTTTGTTCACTTTCTTACATTAAAAAATATCATATCGTATGGGAAATATTATTTTAGTTTCAGTAACTGGCGCTGAAATTAGAATAAAGGGCATATAACAAACTGGACATCCTATTAATGTTTATATTTTTTCTTTATTCTTGATCTGGTCTGCTGAATCTATATCAATATGAAATAGAAATTTGAAAAAAACAATTGATCGCAGTGCCTATTGTAAAATCCCACTTACACTATTTTATCTTTTGAGCGAAAGAAATCCCTTTGACTGATTTTCATTTGCAGCAGTTTCTGAGGAACCAATTTTCTGAATTGTTTTAACTCTAGAACACTAATCATGGCCATAGAGTACCCAGCGCAAATCCTATTTTTAATTACAATTTTCAGTACCTGATTTTCTTACCTAAATAATATGTTTTTCAGTTCCTATTAGTGTTAACTCAAAGTACAAAGTTTGTAGTGCCTACATGTAAAATATTTCAAATAAAGATTTATATTTAATATTTATTTTGATATTTTCAAAATCGGGTATGATATACCCATGGTTAGTCGTGGTGTAACTTTAATTGATGGTTAGTGTTCTAGGCTTAAAGTTTTATAGCCAAGCGAGTGAGCAAAGATGAAGTCTTAGAGAGAGCTTGCAAACAAGGGGGCAGGCTTATACTTAACACCAGGAAAAGGCAGCTGAAGTTTCTGGGACACATAATGAGGAAAGAAGGCCTGGAGAATCTCATACTCACGGGTCGCATAGAGGGAAAGAGAGACAAAGGAAAATAACGCATAGCATACCTAGCTGGCTTGAGCAAGTAGATGACAGAACGTGGTCTGGTGGAGAGGGTAGAGGGAAGGAACTTTTTCAGAGCTGCAAGGAATAGAGTGAGGTGGAATGCCATGATCGCCTCCGTCCTAAAATGACAGGCAGATATAAAGAAAAGAAGCCATGGTGTTTCAGTTGAGTGATTAGAATGAAAGGTAATTAAAGTCAAAGACACTGCTAAGATTTCCTTAACATTATACAAATGATGATGCTGGGACTTATGAACTTTTTTTTGCGTGTGGTTAAAACGTGTCATAAATTATAGTCGAGCATCGAACGTTTAAATGACGAGAAGCGACCATCGTGATTTCCTCCCACATGATCATAAAACGAAAAGGACAAGGCATAAAATCAAGCCACAACTCAAAATACTTAAAGCTACTTTAAGTACTTAGATTTTAACATCACTAAGTACAAGGCGTTTGTCCCCATAGGTACTCGGCCTAATGGTGTGGAGAGAAAACCACAATATGTCAATGGAAAGTGCTCAGTCAAATCACATTCGTTATATCTTCTTTCTTTTTATATGCCATGTCCTGAAAGGACATGGGTGATCATGGCTCTCCACCCCTTCTATCCTTTGCAGCTCCCAGCAAGCTTCTTCCATCTGCTTCCTCTCCCAGATCACGTTCTGCCATCCAGCTGCTCAAGCTCCAGCTATCAACCAAGATATGTAGGGGGAACTGATCAGGTGTTCAACTATGTGTCGACACTAGTACCGCAACTGATCATGCGTCATATGATGATGATGATGATGATATTAATGCAATCTTTTTCAGAATTTCTGGGAAAATATATTGTTTGCATGAATACAATCTTTCTTTTTATGTGCCATGTTCTTTCAGGACATAGGTGATCATGGCTCTCCACCTCCCTCTATCTTTTGTAGCTCTCAACAAGTTCCTTCCCTCTGCTTCCTCCCCCAGACCACGTTCTGTCATCCACTTGCTTAATTTCGCTAGGTGTGCCATGCGTTGTTTTTCCTTGTCCATTTTTCCCTCTATTCGACCCATGAATATCAGATTCTCCAGGCTCTCCTTCCTTATTATGTGTCCCAGAAACTTCAGCTGTCTCTTTCTGATATTAAATATAAACCTTC